GTATCACCTGTGAGGTAGATATTCTAGGCAAATCGCACATCCTTGGATCTAATCTGCAGAAAATATAAACTGAATTTGAAACACTGGCATGGGCTTCAGGCCACTGAACAGATGCATAGAAACCAAAAAAGACAAAGCAACTAAATGGAAAATGTAATGTTGGGTTATGTCCTGGATCAAAAGAAAAACTGCCATAAAGAACACTATTAGGATAATATGGCAAATTTTTGACAAGGATTACTATTCTATAATAGTATCAGGACAACTTTATTTAATGCCCCTAAACTTGATGGTTGTACTCGGCTTGTGCAAGAGAATATCCTTGTTCATCAGAAATACACACTGAAGTATTTAGAGGTAAAGGAGAATAATGCCTGCTATTAGCTCTCAAATGGTTCAGGAGGAAAGTAGGTGAGTGTGTGTGTGTGTGTTGTATGTGTGTGTATATTGGCATATGCATGGAAAAACAGAGAGATTCAGTATGGGCTGGGTTACATGGTGCACATCATGAAATGAAACAAATGTTACCAACTGAGGATCTTGGGGAAGACATAGGAATTCTCTATATTATTCTCCTCACCCTTTTGTTAAGTTATATATTATTTCAATGTATTTCTTATGCATCACCATACCTGTCCTGTGTGTGCCTGTCCTGTGGCTAGGTTCTCCAATACTGTCACTGCCTGCTCTCCACTTTGCAGACAATCCATCTGCACCCAGGCCTGAAGCTCCTTGGGCAGGATGGTCAGGAACTGCTCCAGCACCAGCAGCTCCATGATCTGCTCCTTGGTGTGCATCTCTGGTCTCAGCCATTGGTGACAAAGTTCTCGGAGCTGGGCCAGAGCCTCCCTGGGCCCAGATGCCTCTTGATAACAAAACTGCCGGAAGCGCAGACGGCAAAGCTCCTGCGTGTGGGTGCTGCTCTCCTGTGAGTGGTATGCCTGCTCCCAGGAAGAATCTTCTGCCTTCACTTTCACAAGATTATCTTCATTTTCACAAGTGGAATCTGGCAAATCTTCAAACATGTTGAGCTCAGAAGCTAGAAGAAGGCTCACTAGGCTGAAGTCTATGCTTCAGTAATGTTTTTCCAAAGGTACATCTAAAGTATAATAATTTATCATAATTACAAAAATAATAAGTTTCAAAATTCTATTCAGTATGCTTAATGCTTGTGTGTGTATGTGTGTGTGTGTGTGTGCGCGCACACACACACACACACACATGTGCATGCCTGCACTTGTGTTTGAACTCAGAGCCACTAACTCTTATTTGGCTTTTTACACTCTTAGCTGGTACCCTAACACTTGAGCCATATCTATACTTTTGACGTTTTACTGGTTAATTGAGGATAAGAGTCTCTCAATCTGTTTGCAAGGTCTAGCTTCAAAATAAGATTCTTCTTTTTTTTTTGGTCCATTGTGGGGCTTGAACTCAGGTACTGTCCCTGAGCTTTTTTGCTCAAGGTTAGTGCTCTACCACTTTGAAGTATAGTGCTACTTCCTCAAACCATGATGAAGTTTTTTATTGTAAAAATACTATACAGAGGAGTTACAGTTACATGAGCAAGGTAATGAGTACATTTCCTAATAAGCATTACCTCCTCCTTTGTTTTCCCCCTACCATCCCTTCCCTCCCACCTTCACAACTATATTCTCCTCTCACCCCCCACCTCAAACCATGATTCTTAAATCTTGTCTCCTGAGTACTTTGGATTGTAAGTGTGAAACACAAGTGCCTGAAACATACTTATATGTGTTATGTTTGTCCCCATTGGAGGTCATGCTCAAAAGCTGAACTTGTGCTGGGCATAAGTGGCTCATACCTGTAATCCTAGCTACTCAGGAGGTTGAGATCTGGGCATCGTGGTTCAAAGCCAGCTGGAGCAGGAAATTCTGTGAGACTCTTATCTCCAATTAACCACCAGAAAACTGGAGGTGGTGTTGTAGCTCAAGTGGTAGAGTGCTTGTCTTAAGCTGAAGAGTTGAGGGACAGTGCCCAAGCCCAGAGTTCAAGCCCGAGGACCAAAAACAAACAAAACAAACAAAAAAATTGAACTTGCTAGCCTTTCTATAAAAGAAGTGAATCACAAGTACTTCTTAAACACTAAAGGTGTTGAACCCAGTGGTAAGAGGATGCAATACATGAGAGAGAAAGGTTAACACTTGGTTAGCCAAGTGTACTGGAATATTTTAGCACTTGGGAGGCAGAGTCCAGCCTAGGCTACAAAGTGAGACTATGTCTCAAAGAAAGGAAAAGGAAATGGAATCTCAATCTATAACATCATTAAAAGAAACTCATCCATTATCTATTTCTCCATTTCTTTTGCTGTCATGATCTTCCATATATTTAAGCTTATACCAGGTTCTATCACTGGGTCCAGTTTTTTTCCACAAAATGCCTTACAGCTATTCTTTCCTTTTTGTTCTCTTATTATCCTTTCTATTCACTATTGCAATCATTTTTTGTGTGATATTCTTGCTTAACCACCCATCATTGAATTAATATTTCCTAAAAGCAAATACTGGCCCCATTCATTATACCTCCGGAGAGCATGAAATATCTGTTTGGTATTTGTCCACTTTCCTGGCATGGAACTCCTTAAAATCTTCAGAGTAGTTTGTTTTTGTAGTCTAATAACTGATTGCTGGTGGGCAAGTAGGTGGTTTCTGGACAGGAGCTGATCACTGAGTATGACACCAAACCAGGATTACGAATTGGGACTTTCAGCCCTCACCCCCAAAATCTGGGGGCGGGGGAAGAGGAATGGAAAGGTAGGCTGATAAGCAATGAAGAGTGATTTAATCAATCAGGCTTATGTACTGAGGCCTCCATAAAAATAAAAAACGGATAGGGTTCATGGAACTTTGAAATAGCTGGTCATGAAGAAATTCCTGGAGGTTGGTCCCTTCACAGAGGGCATGGGAGCTGCACACTCCTTAACTTTGCCCTATGCAATTCTTCATCTGTATCCTTTACCCTACTACATCAGTAAACATGTGTTTTCTTGAGTTGTGTGACTTCAAGAAAGAGGCTGTAGGAATCCTGATTTCTAGCCAGTTGGGCAAGCACAGGTAAAATAACCTGGGGCTGACAACTGACACTGGAAATTGGAGGCAGATTTGTGCAGCTAGGTCCTCAACTTATGGGTGTCAGGGATACCCTGTGATGTCCTAGGAAAAATTAACTGTTGCTGGTGTGTGGGGGGGAAATCGCTACACTTGAGAATACATGCATCTTCTGGGAAAATGACTGTGGTGTAACAGCAGAGAAAAAAGTCTGTTTCTCCTATAGACAAGTTAAACTCTCCAGGATCTGCTATCTACTGGCTTTTATTTGGCTGTTATTCAGCACCTCAATATTTTCCAGGCATAAAGCTTTTCTTTTCTTACCTTGAATAAAATCATGGTCTTCCCAAATATCTCATGTCACGGCCACGATGACTAACTCAAGGTTTTCCCATTCACTTTGTACTTCATAGCCAGGACCATCTTTTAAATGCAAATTCAGTGCAAAAGGTTATGTAGGGCATAACCTTCTCTGGCTACCCTCAAACACATGGATAGAAGGGGACAACTGTTCTGTCTTTTATGCCACACGAGTGACCATGTGGCGTTTCCACGGGAAACCGTACCCACTCCTCAGACCACAGAACCACTCTAGCTTGAGGACAGGGGTTTATCTGTTAACAGACTGCACGCCCAGCACGTACCTGGTATTCAACAGATCCTGGTGGGCTCCTGGATGGATGACTTTACCCAGATGTCTGAGATGCTAGGATTCTGGCAGGCGCCCGGCACACAGCAGACGGGTCCGTCCAATTGGTGGCGTCCAAGTGCAGGCGCAGATTACGAGTTTTAAAAAAGAAAAGGGTGCACAACAAAAATGTGGCCGCCGACCTTGTTTAAGGGTCTCCCAGGAACCCCGGGCCGTAGAGTGGGAGGCGCCCGCTGGGCCTCTGCTCGCCCCACACACGCAGTGGAATCTTGTAGCGCCAGGACGTGTCACCAGGGGCTTCGGACAGCCGAGCTGCGGGCTGCGGGGCACGACCTGCAGCGGGAGCGCGAGCTGGAGGCTGGAGGCATTTCTTCCCGCCGCGCCTGCGCCCTAGCAGCAGCTTCCGGACGGGTTCCGCGTCTCTCTAGGAAACACGCCCCCCGTCTCGCTGGTGCACCGGGCGGAGGCAATTGCCGCCCAGCCACTGGCATTTCTTTGCTCGGATTTCCTTCAGATCTGTTTTCGCTTACTCCATCACTACACATTTTTGTAAATCGTTTCAATTAAAATTCTGGACGGAGCCTGGCACTGGTGGCTCACACCTGTAATCTTAGTTACTACCCAGGAGGCTGAGATCTGAAGATCGCGGTTCAAAGCCAGCCCTGGCAGGAGAGACCGTGAGACTCCTATCTCCAATAAACCACCAGAAAACCGGAAGTGGCGCTGTAGCTCAAGTGGTAGAGCGCTCGCCTTGAGCTGGAGAGCTGAGGGACAGCGCCCAGGCCCAGAGTTCAAGTCCCACGACCGACAAAAAAATAAATAAATAAATAAATAAAATAAAAGAGCAAGATTAGCAAGATCACAGATCACTAAAGGTTTTTTAAAGAGCAAAGAAAAATTGAAGAATGTGTGTTTAAATGATGGAGAATTATCAGAAGGAAACATGACTTCAGTGGCAGAACTAAGGTAACACTAAAGAGAGAGAAAGACAAGGGAGAGAAATGATACTTGTTTTACATGTGTGAAAACTCTTTGACTAACTGGGAGCTGGTAGCTGAAAGAGGCTGAAATCTGAGGATCACAGTTCAAAGCCAGTCCGGGCAAGAAACTCTGTGAGATTCTAATCTCCCATAAACAAGTCAGAAAAAGCTGGAAGTGGTGTTGTGGCTCATGTGGTAGAATGCTTGCCTTGAACAAAAATGTTTCAGGGATAGCACCCAGGCCTTAAATTCAAGTCCCAGGACCGGCACAAGAACAAAACAAAACAATAAAAACAAACCCCTACCTCATTGCGTGGTATAGTTACCAAAAAATGAACTTAACTGATATAAATTATACTTCAATAAACCTGACAGAATGAAAACACAAATCCCCAAGGACGATGGAGCAGTGGGAGCTGCACAGCTTAACCCACCTCCCATGTGAAAATTTGCAACCCAATTCTTACCCTTCTCTTTCTTAGGTTTCTGAACTTCACAGTCAGGCAGGACCCTCTGTTCCAGAACTACTTTGAGAGAAGCTGTTTCTTCCACCAGCAGCTTATCTTTCTTTCCCTTGTCTGGATCCTAGAGACAATTAGGTACATATAGAGACAATCAGGTATATGTAAATATAATTAGTTGCATGTGGGCTTAGAAAAAGAAAAGACTCGGGCTGGGAATGTGGTCTAGTGGTAGTGCTTACCTAGCAAGCATGAAGCCCTGGGTTCTATTCCTCAGTACCACATACACAGAAGTGGCGCTGTGGCTTAAGTGGTCAAGTGCTAGCCTTGAGCAAATAAGATCAGGGACAGTGCCCAGGCCCTGAGTTCAAGCCCCAGGACTGGTAAAGACAACAACAACAACAAAAAGACCACAACCATAGAAAAGAGAGCAAAGAAATGTCAAGAATCAGGAGCACATTTCATTTCCTCCCAGCAGAGGTCAGGTAGGTTAAAAAAGACCTTCAGAAGATAAATGAACACTCAGACATGTAAGAAATTGAACCCACGCTTAGCTATTCTCTGCCCACTGCTACACTGATGAACACCTGTCTGGCCAGAGATTCCTGCTTCCGTGTAAAAGAGGACATTTGACCCTTACCTCCTGTTGTTCTGTTTCTCCATGTTTCAGCTGTAAATCCTCCAGTACAACAACCAGGTCTTCTGCATTCTCTGGGTGATGCTCCCATACCTGAGACTGGAGCTCCTCAGGCAGGATGGTCAGAAACTGCTCCAGCACCAGCAGCTCCAGGATCTGTTCCTTGGTGTGGGTCTCCGGCTGCAGCCATTGTCGGCAGAGCTCTCTGAGTCGGCACAAAGCCTCTCGGGGTCCTGCAGTTTCTTCATAGCGCAACTGTCTGAATTGTTTGCACAGTGGTTCCTGTCCATCGTCTCTGCTGTTGTTACCTTGCAATGTGAATTCCTGTTTCCAAATAGAGCAGTTATAAAAAAGACTTAAAGGCTGGCACTTCATTTGGGCCTGTAGCTATTTCCTTTGGTACCTTAAACTTTGAGATAACTCTGCACATAGATATGTTGTTAATCATTTTTTATATGTCTATGTAAAAACGGTTAGTATAGGCCGATGTGTGTGTGTGTGTGTGTTTGTGTGTGTGTGTCAGTACTAAGACCTGAACTCAGGGCCTGAGTGTGTTTGCTTAGCTAGCAGTCTATCACTTGTGCCACAACTCCACTTCTGGCTTTTTGTTTTCTAATTGGAAACAAGAGTCTTATGGACTTTTCTACCTGGGCTGGCTTCAAAGTACAGTCCTCAGATGTCAGCTTCTTGAATAGTTAGATTTACAGGAGTGAGCCACTGGCATCTGGCTACCCCTAAATTTACCTAAGCTCTCTCCTTCCCCTTCAAAACTAAGAGCTGGGTGATGGTGGCTCATGCCTGTAACCCTAGCTACTCAGGAGGCTGAGATCTGAGGTACGCAGTTTAAAATCAGCTTGGGTAGGAAAGTCCATGAGACTCCAATAAACCACTCAGAAAAAGCCAAAAGTGGCACTATAGCTCAAGTGGTAGAGTGCTAGCCTTGAGCATACACACACACACACACAAAACTCAGGGAACTCAGAGTTCAAGCCCTAGGACCAGAAAAACAGACAAACAAACAAACAACAAAAACTAAGGACAGATAGGAATAACGAAGGCAGAGTGCTAGTGGCTCATGCCTGAAATCTTTATTCAGGAGGCTGACATCTGAAGATTAAAGTTGAACCCAGTCCAGGCAGATGAATCCAAGAGATTCATATCTGCAACTAACCAGATAAAGACCAGAACTGGAGGCATCAAGTAGTATAGTACTAGTGAAGCAAGAGAGCAAGATCCTGAATTTAAGACCCATTACTGGCATACAAGAGAGAAGAGAGGGAGAGAAATAAAGAGCAGCGGGTGGATAGAAAGAGAATGAGAGAGAGAGAGAGAGAGAGAGAGAGAGAGAGAGAGAGAGAGAGAGAGAGAGAGGTAACTAAGGTATTTTCATGATGCCCAGAACAGCAAGTCTTGCAGGCACACAACCCTGTGATATGAATCTGTTCCCCAAGTAGGAGCAATTATGCCCTGAAGGTGGGAGAACTGAAATGACTTCCTTAAATAATAATGACTTCCTTGGAGCCAGCAAGACTTGCAGAACTAGACTTGGCACAAAGATCACCCAGACTGCAGTTTGTCAAGACTGCTTGATTATAAGTACATGATCATATCTTGTCCCTCTCAACACCAGCTTTTGTCTTTCCCCAGTAAATCCTAAATAGCGTGACAGAATCCTGAAGACAGTGCTCCTCCAGTTTCTCCTCAGTGAGGCCACTCTGAATAATAAGTTTCTTGCTTGCTTCACCACCACACATCTCTGACTGGACACCAAATCTGGTCTGCTGGTATGCTCAGAGTCAGACTTCTGAACCAGGATTCTGGTAGTAGAGCTCCTCTCTCTTCTGATTCAGAGGAGTTAAGAAATGAAAACTCACCAATACTGTTGCCATCCCCAGCTTCAGACTGCTCTCTCTATTTGGAGAACTTTGACCAGATCCTCAAGGATGCTCCTAAAAATAGAATAACAAAAATTACCCAAACAGTTAATACTAGTACCAATAGTAGAAATAATGGCAGTGACCTTTTACCTGGGCTGGCCTCAGCCTCTTATGATCAAGCAATCCTTTCTCAGCTTCCCAAGTGGCTGGGACTATAGAAATGCCCACCATGTCCTGTTTAATGCCAGTATTCTCAATGGAAGTGAAAGGGTCCAAGAAAATAATGATTATGAGCTAGAAAGTTGGTGTGGTGATGATTCGTATGTTAGTTCTGGGCCACTGGATATTGAGATATTTGGTCAAACATTATTCTGGGTATTTCTGTGTGCTTTTGGATGAAACTAATATTTAGACTGAAGAGTGAGTGAAACCTTTTAAGTATTCTTGACTTTATTTTCATCCTGACAGTCTGTTCTCATTCATGAGTTGTCAGCTAAAGATGCTTTAAAATGGAAGTCAAATCATGTCTTTTCTGTTAGGTTTCATTGGCCATCACCATGGCCTCTATTTTGAGACTCCAGATCAGTATTTTGCTTGGCAATCACCTAGCCTACCTACCCCAACTGCCCTTTAGGCCATGACCAATTAGCACATTATCTGGCCCCATCAGTCCAAATAAAGCTAGTCTCCATACCTCAATACCTCTTCAGGTATTTCCCACTAATCCACTGGAAATACCTTCAGCCTGTAAGTGGTTGGTCATCCTTAGCAGGTTTTCCCCCAAATAAACCTGTGTTGGTCTTGAGAGTCTTTTTGCCTATTTTCTATGTTTTTTGAATCTAACTTTTTTTTCTGCTTAAAAATCTTCCAAAGCCAGGCACCACTGGTTCATGCCTGTAATTGTAGTTACTCAGGAGGTTGGGATCTGAGGATCATGGTTCAAAGCCAGCTCAGGCAGCAAAGTCTCTGAGACTTATTTCCAATTAATCATTAAAAAGATAGAAGTAGAGCTGTGGCTCAAGCACTAGAGTTCTGGCCTTGAGTAAAAAAGCTTAGGGACAGCACCCCAGCCTTGAGTTCAAGCTCCAGGACCTGCACAAAAAAAGAGGGGAGGGGAGAGAGAGAGAGAGAGTGTGTGTGTGTGTGTGTGTGAGAGAGAGAGAGAGAGAGAGAGAGAGAGGACAGAAAGAAAGAAAAGGAAGAAAGGTCTTCTAAGGTGCAGGAGGCTGAGATCTGCAGATCGTAGTGAGAAGCCAGTTGGTACAGAAAAGTCTGTGTCAGACTCTTATGTTGAATGAACCAGCAAAAACCCGAAATTGGAGGCTTAGCTCTAGTGGTAAGAACACCAGCCTTTCAAAAAAAAGGTGAGGGAGAGGGACAGTACCTTAGAATTCAATCCCTAGTATCTGCAACAGAGAGAGAGAGAGAGAGAGAGAAAGAGAGAGAGAGAGAGAGAGCTTATAAAATTCACACCAAGAAAGAACTAATTCTATTCTTTACACAACAGAATGTTCACTTTCTACATGCGTAATCTCTCTGCTGTAGTCCTCTCCAGTTACCCTAATTTGCTGCACTCAAATCACTCTGGTCTCGCTGTTATTACTCAAGTGTGACAAGCTTCAGGTTTAGGGCTTTTGCATTGGCCACTTCACTGCCTTGAAATCTCAGGCACTCAAAAGCCATCCAGGAGTTTTCATGTCCCTGTTTTCTGTCACCATTATCTTCTCAGTGGGACCTATCTTTGATATTGGGACCTGTCTAAAATTGTGTTCAATGGAGGTAAAAAATCCAGCAGAAGGCTGTGCCAGTGAACTAGGCTGTCGGCTTTATCCCTTTCACGGGTCCCAGGACTGACCCCTCCTCTCCAGCCGAGAATCCCACTTCCAGTTCTCAGGACCTCAAGATGAGGGAAAGCTGCTCTGCACCCGCGGGAAAGCCACCATTCCCAAACCCGACAGGCCGCGGCTCTGCCCTAACTGAAGCCCACACATCACTCACTCGATTAAAGGCCGGGCTGGAGCAGCCGATGTTCGCAAACCGCGCGTTACCTTTCCTCCGCGGGCCAGATCCCGTCCCCAAGCACTTTGGACTCTAGGACACGACTCCTTGCTGTCCAGCTACGGCCTCCGGGCGAGGGCAAGGTGGTTCCGCCCACCGAGACTCAGCGGCAGGCAATGAGCATGCGCGGGAGTGTGACTTCTGGCCCGTGGCTGTTTTCTTTTCAAAGCTGGGATTTTATTAATTTCAAAACGGGTCAGTTGGATGTTATCACAAATAGCTGTCTTCCCACTTTACTCATACATAAAAGCATCGTATTCTTTGCAGTTAAATCATCAAACACAATGACAAAAGTGTCAAAAGTATTGAAAAGTCATTATTTGAATATTTGGACGGTTTGAAATGACAAAAAAGCCTATTATTGAAGGAGAGAATAATCAAAAATATTTTTGTTTGTAATAAATGTAGGGTACAAGGAGCGAAAAAAAGCATCATATATCAATAGCAAAATCATTTTAGAGCTAGGCCCTGGTAGCTCACACCTGTAATCCTAGCAACTCAGGAGGCTGAGATCACTATTGGGAGTTAGCCTGGGCAGAAAAGTCCAAGAAACCTTTATCTCCAATTAGCCATTAAAAACAAAACAAAGAAAATAAAAAGCCATGCCAGAAATAGAGCTGTGGCTCAATTGACAGAGCATTAGCCTTAAGGAAAAAACAAACAAGGGGCAGTTCCCAGTCCATGAGCTCAAGCCCCAGTACTAGTACTAAATAAATACATTTTTAGAGAAATAATGCCTCTTGACAACCTTATCACTTTTTTTTTTTCTTTTGTCAGTCTGGTCATGGGGCTTGAACTCTGGGCCTGGGCGCTGTCCATCAGCTCTTCAGCTCAAGGCAAATGCTCTACTGCTTGAACCATAGCACCACTTCTGGCTTTCTGGTGATTTATTGGAGATAAGAGTGTCATGGACTTTCCTGCCTGGCTGGCTTTTAACTGCGATTCTCAGATATCAGCCTCCTGAGTAGTTAGGATTACAGGTGTGAGCCACCAGCACTGGTTCACAAACTTTTTACTGTTTTTTTTTTTTTTTTTTTTTGTCCCATCGTGGGGCCTGAACTCTGGGCCTGGGTGCTGTCCCTCAGCTCTTCAGCTCAAGGCTAGCGCTCTACCACTTGAGCCACAGCACCACTTCCGGCTTTTTTCTTTTTGCTTATGTGGTGCTGAGGATGAGGAATCGAACCCAAGGCCTCATACATGTAAGGCAAGCGTTCTACCACTGAGCCACCTTCCCAGCCCTGGTTCACAAACTTTTAAAAAATAGTTTTTCAATAAAATAAACTTATAAATCTGAACTCAGTTTTCTATTTATTAGCTGATAGTTTTGAAATATTATTAAGTAGCACAAGAACAATTATACTATGCCATATGTCCATAAATAAAATGAAAACATAAAAAGTCAAAAACAAGAAGTTCAATTGTAACAAGGAGAGTTGTATTTACTTTTTTCCTTGGGTGTCAAAAGCTTGAAAGTACCTTATAAAAGTTTAACTTAAAATTTTTTTCTTAAGTCAAGCAAATCCACTAACTATACATATTTTATCAATTAGAAACAAGTTTAATTGTGTTTTTTGTTTTTGCCCTTGAAGGGATATCAAGACCCAAACCATTATACTCTTATTCTTTTGCTTCCTTGTTGCCATGATATGAAGTTTTTTCCTGTGTTCTCCATCATGTGTTCTGCCCTGCCCTAGGTGCAAAATGCCCTAGGTCCAATCAACCATGGACTAATATAAGCTAATATAAATGTTTCTTTTTTTTTTTTGTCTGTCATAGAGTTAAACTCTGGGCCTGGGTGCTGTCCCTGAGCTCTTCAGCTCAAGGCTAGTGCCTTACCACTTGAGCCCCAGTGCCACTTCTGGTTTTCTGGTGGTTGTGGACTTTCCTGCCTGGACTGGCTTTGAATGGTGATCCTCAGATCTCAGCCTCCTGAGTAGCTAGGATTACAGGCATGAGCCACTGGTGCCCCAGCTCCCCCCCTTTTTTTTTTGGTCTGGTTGTGGGGCTTGAACTCTGGGCCTGAGCACTGTCCCTCAGCTCTTCAGCTCAAGGCTAGTGCCCTACCACTTGAGCCACAGCGCCACCTCCGGCTTTTTTCTTTTTGCTTATGTGGTGCTGAGGAATCGAACCCAGGGCCTCAGGCATAGCAAGGTAAGCGCTCTACCACTGAACCAACTTCCCAGCCCCCCCCTTTTTTAAAAAAAATTTCAGTATTTTGTTATAGCATAGGAAGCTGAATAGAAAACTTTAATTTTTCCAGCTTTATATATTTTCTTTACTAAGCTGCCGACAGCTAAAGTTTAGAAATAATTACCCTGTGTTGTGGAATTTTTCAAAATTATCACAAGCCAGGTGCCAGTGGCTAATACCTGTAATCCTATCAGTCCTGAGATCTGAGGACTGAAATTTGAAGTCAGCTAAAGCAGACAAATTTGTACCTTTTCCCAAGTGAGAAAGGCAAAGATAACTGTTTTGTTACTATTAAGGAGTCTTTCTAGGATTTGTAGGACAATATAATCATCTCACAGAAAACAAAGTCAATATACAAATAAGAGACGTGTCCAAGACATGTGATAAAGAGCTAATGTTTTATTATTTGAAGAGTTTTTATGATCAAGAAAAAAGACCAATGACCCTATAGAAGACTGAACAAGTTATAATGTGAGTTTACAATAAAAAGACTCCAAAAAATTCATACATAAAAATTCTGTACCTTATTCTTAATTAAAAAAGCAATTTTTACCTAACAGATTAACATAGATTAAAACGCTTTTGGAAAGTAGAGTATCAGTGATGATACTGGTCTGCAAACTTATAAAACTTATTTTAAGAGATAACAGTAATATCTATTAAAAACTGAGAACACAGCTTAAATATGATATTCTTAGGCCTTTCCTGACAGTCATTTGAGGAAAGTTTTGTTTTTAATCTCTACCCTCATATTTTCTTCATAGCACAGTAAAATTTGCAATGATTTGTTAACTTTTAAAACTGTCTTCCAGTAGAATGTACATTTCTATCATGCCAAAGATCAAGGCTAATGTATTCTTTGGTTTATCCCCAGAACTTTTCACACATGTCTTGTTGCTTATGACATAGTGGGCACCTAATCAGTGTTTTTCTTTGACTCAATAATTCCATTTCAAGGTGACCATTTCTCCATTTAGGAGACTTTTGCCACAATAATTCCATTTTATAAAAATATGCTACATATATATTGTCACACATCCACGGAGATTTTCACTACAGTACTGTGTAATAACAAAATAAGAGGAATGTCTCAACTATGCAATAACATGTGGGCCTTCTCAAACAGATAGCAATCCCTATGAAGGACAAAGAATAGATGCAGACCCAAAGCCACAACTTAAAATGTTGTATGTTAAAAATAAGTACTCTTTCTCTTAGCTTCCCCCCAAAACTTGCCTGCTATCTGTATTTTTAAATGTATACTCTTTTTGATCCCCTTACTCTCTTGGTAATCTCATAAGACTCAAAACCTTGGATGAAAGAAGAAAAGCTGGCCACCAGTGGCTCATGCCTGTAATCCTACTGAGAAAGCTGTGGTCTGAGGACTGAGGTTTGAAGCCCAGGCAGGAAAAGTTCTTGATGCTTATCTTCAATTAACCATGGAAGTGGAGCTATGGCTCAAGTGGCAGAATGTTAATCTTGAGCACAAAGGCTTCAGGACCTGAATTCAAGCCCCATGACTGTCACTCAAAATACTAACCCTGCCCCTCCCCCCCACCCCCAACAGGCTAGCTGTGGTGGCTCAGGCCTGTGCTCTGATACTTGCAAAGTGGAGATTGTGATTTGAGGTCAGTGCAGGCAGTAACCCTCTCCATCTCAACCAGTAGCTAGGTGTTGTGGTACATGGTTGTCATCCAGTTACATGGGCAGCATAAATAAGATCCTGATCCAGTCTGGTCAAGTAAAAATTTGAGAACTTCTCCCCAAAACAATCGTAAAATAAAGGCTAGTGGTAAGGCTTAAATGGCAGAATGCCCACCTAATAAGTACAAAAGCCTGAATTCAGCCCTTAACTAGCACAATAAAAATAAAAGTAATTCTCACAACAAACTGTGCTCTATAAACTTGTTACTAAAAGCAAAACGTGTTTTCTGCCATCCCTTTTTATAGATTTTCTTGATAAAGTAGCTTATTCTTACCACAAGACCAGAATCAAGATGGGGTGTTCCCTCATTAAAGCCAAAATGTTTGTATAGAGAAAACACATTTTAAAACTGGTGCCCATAGTTAATGAAAAAACCAATGGAGCCTAATCCGTCTCTACAAACCCTGCAGAAGCAAAGCCTGGTGTCTTTCAGTCATGCTTCCAATTCTCCATCTCTTTGATCAAACTTCCTTGGCTTGATTTCAATTCCATTGTCATTAGAATTACATGTTCAGTAACACTTTCATACTATGAAGCTATGTAAAGTGGAAAAAAGCAGTACCAATTTGTGTTTAGCATGGTAAAATGGCTTATTCCTAAAAATAAAAATATACAGATGTTACAGTTTGGCTTTTATCAGTGTTCTCTAACCCTATTTGGGAATGCTAGCTGTGAAACTGGAGTTAAAGGGTCCCTATATCACCCTGCTCTGAAAAATTTCTAGAAACTTATCCTTTTTCCCTCAGCTCTATGGGGCTTTTGGGTGTCTTGAGCCTTGAAAAAGAGGTATATCCAAGTGAAATATTTTGGGTAGTGTTGAATGAAAAATCTCAGGGTCAGTGAGTTATTAGGTAGCTATCTTCCAGTGACTCTAGGTGGAGCTACTCTAAAGTCCTCTCTAAGTTCTAGTAAGCCAGTCTCTCCACACTAATTCATTCATGTAGTACTTCCTGACCTGGCCTCTTCCACTTAAGCTTTGACAACTCTGTCTTTATGCCTTCTAATATTAGCTTTATCTGATAGTCTAGGTGGCCCTAACCACCTGCTGTTTGGTAGACTCGAGCACTCTGGATCATTTGATTAACTCTCTCTCTCTCTACATATACATACATATATATATATATATATATATATTTATAATTTTTTGGTTGGTCATGGGACTTGAACTCTGGGCCTGGGCTCTGTCCCTCAGCTCTTCAGCTCAAGGCTAGCGCTCTACCACTTGAGCCACAGTGCCACTTCCGGCTTTTTTCTTTTTTGCTTGTGTGGTGCTGAGGAATCGAACCCAGGGCCTCAGGCATGCAAGGCAAGGGCTCTCCCACTGAGCCACCTTCCTAGCCCTATATATTTAGAACATTTCAAAAACCAGTCCTTAGCATACTGGGGACTTACTAACAGTAAGTACAATATCACTGCAAAGCTTTTAAATGTCATCATTTAATAACAGTCTGTTCAAAAAGTCCTGTGCAACGAAGTCCTTACTTGTCATCTTTCCCTTTTGTCTTCCTGTATACCATCTCTCGGAAACTGGCTAGGATCTTATTCTCTCTCTTTCTCCTCTCTTCTTGGTTAAAGGATGCAAGTGCTCTTTTCTCATCAGCACTGTAAATCTGGTTCTCTTTACGAAGTCGTACTGCTTCCATTCTGCGATGCCTGCTACCACTCATGACATAACCTGAGCATTCAAATGCAGCAATCTCTTCACTTGTCAGCCCAATTTCACCTCTTCGTGGGATACGCTTTCCAGCTTTTACATACTCAGCCATAGCTGCCCCTTCACCTGGGAGCAGCGCATGGCCATAATTCAGAGGTTTCTCATCTTGACAGGTATGTATTATAGGTGCTTCTGGACCTATTAAATTTACTGTATCTGAAGTCTTTGACTGTTCGATCCAGATGCCTTCTGACAGTTCCCGTTCTAAAGTTTTACAACTTGTATTGCTGGTTTCTTTTTTACTTCTCTTCTTCTTTTTCTTGGCTTTCTTTGCCTTATGTTTCTTTTTCTTCTCTTTCTTCTTGGCTTTTTTGACTCTCTTTTTATCACGATCAGTACTTGAGTTGGTCTCGGAGTCGGAATCACTGTCGTTATCAGAATACTTCCTGTCTTTTCTTTTGGAGGATTTTTTCTTTTTTGAATGACTGATCTTCCTCTTTTTGTCTTCGGATGTGGAATCCGAACTAACGCTCTTAGGATTCTTGGCTTCATCCTCCACGGGTGTGTGCTCATCGGAATCTGGCTCAGGGAACTTAGGTGACAAACCCCACACCTCAGGCGCTCCCAACTCACCAATCCTCTCTCTCTCTTTCAGCCTCCTTTGTCGGTAGCTCTCTTCCTTTTCCTTCTCGTAGTCGATGGCCCGGTCACCAGCATGGTAGTGGTGGCGGCGGTATGCACCATAGTAGACCGAGGAGGAGGAAGAGGGGAAGGCACAGTCGCGGAGCCCCAAGGGCCTCTCTCCACACCCAGCGCGGCCCACCCGGGAAGAGGCGTGGGCGCTCATCCCGCCACCTCGAGGGGTCTCCTGGAGGTTCTCACCGCTTCGGGAGTAAGGGCAGGAAGTGCCACTCCAAGGGAAGCATCGGGTCTGCACCGAGGACGACGGCAGTGGTGGTGGCGGGCTCTGAGACGAGCTGCGTCCTAAAGCCCGGAGTGTCCTTGGAATAGTGCGACCCTGACACTGGCGCCATGAGCGGCGGCGTCGCAAATGGCGGTTACTACGGCCTCTGGCGAGGGCCCTGACTTTCCCTAGTGCGCAGGCGCATTAGGAAAAAAAAATTCCCGTGCAGGGAGTGATTCCCCTTCCCTTTCCGTCGCGTTTCGAGGTGAGGGCTGAATTCACAGGTGGCTTGGCGGTAGGTGCTCTTCCGAAGTGGTGGAGGGGAAATGTGGACACCGGTTCTCAGTATTAACATTCCCTATGCGGATTTTTTTTTTTTTGTAAACCTATGATCAATAAAGACCCCCTGGAAAAGTCTATAGGAACAGATGATACCAGACATTTTTTTTCCTTCGGTTTGCAGTGGCCAGAACTTGTGCACATGACAGCCCTTCTGGTTTCAGCATCCAGCAGCAACCACTAGTATTGCAGCCCTAAATCACACGATGTATGCTAGTGTAACTTCACTGCTGCTACAACCAACCATCTTCTTGGATTCTCATACTCAGGGAATAAAGTTCACAGATAGAGGATGATATAAAGAATTTACTCCAAACATAACTTTGCTAGCCAGACTGCAGCTGAATTTAAGGGATTTTATCCTTCGGACAGTCAATGACCTATGCAAGTGAGGTGTAGCATAACCAACCAATCAGAATATCCCTGACATAGCATTGTAGCTGTGCCTATTATTTATGATAATTAGGTGTTTTGGAACATGATTCTCATTGGTCAAATCTTGTGACATTCTGAATGATAATTACAGATAACTATGTTCTACAAATTCCTGCCCTTAGGGTTGTGGGAAGGATCATTTAACTTGAGAATGAAGAACTGGAAGGCCTTCTGGAGAAGCTGAGGCAGGATGTTTCCTGCTGGGGTTTTCGAAACAATCTTGTGGTTTTTTTTTTTTTTTCTTCAAAGTTTAGTGTCCATTTGCCAGGGCAGTTATGCCTTCCTCTTTGAGATGCTCTGGATTCTAATATAATAGATTCTCATCTATTCTAATCTAATAGTTACTGAACTATTTAACAGTGTTTGGTCAGGGGATTAGGAAGGGGAGGAGGGTGGAGGTGTCCTGGGACTTGAACTCAAAGCCTAGGTGCTGTTCCTGAGCCTTTTTTGTGCTCAAGGTTAGTGCTCTACCACTAGAGACACAACGCCACTATCAGCTTTTTCTGAGTAGTTTACTGGAGATAAGAGTCTCTTGGAGCTGGACGCAGGAGGCTCACACCTACAATTCTAGCTAGTCAAAGATTTAACCAATCTTTGCTCCGGTTTGAGTATCCGGATATTTTAAAAGCTCTCCACTAATCGGAACGTGACAGAATTTGAAAACTGCTAACTTAACTTGCTTCTCTATTTTACCTATATAGAGTATTGGGATATAGAGATTAGAAATCCAGGATATCCAGGTTCGCTGATTTTGCTAACAACGTTACGTGAGTAGTATTCCTGGTGCAGGTCATACAGACAAAAATATTTCCCAGTATTCATTTGTAGTGCCCTTTGATAGCTGTAATATTAAATTCGTTTTCTTCTTTGTCATTCTTTGAACTTAATAGTTCAAAGTAAAAACTAAGAGCAATATTGGCATGCTATTTTCTGATAACCTTCTGAACATGTATTTTCTCGCTTGTCCATTCCACTTGATAGAACATTTACTAATACTTCAATCCAGCCAAACAACTTGCATTCACTTATAGCTTAAAATCTAGTCACAACGGACTTCTAACAAATCCCAGACCTTCCTTTTATTCTAGGGTAAGATCTAACTTATTGTAAACCACACATCTAAGCACTTTATGTAATGTCCATAATATTATTTAACCATTATTTAATGCCCACAACATCTTTGTTTACAATTGCTACCTTCACTTGTAAATCAGGGAAGTTGGGCACAGATAAACTTTCCCAAATCACTCATCTGGTATTTGGTCAAACCAAGACGGCTTTGTAACATGGTCTGATCACTGAGTTAGATGGTTAGTAGAGGCTGGAATACAAGAAGAAGGAAGCAGGCCAGAATAGGGTCTTTGAGCTAGAGATAAGAGAATTTTTGGAAGTAGACAGCAGTATGACCTGGGTTGCCTAACAAGATGTCATGAGAAATGGAGAGTGGTAAGTTAGAGTAGAGGAATCTCTGGTTACTTTTACATGAACCATCTTAGTAGCTGTAGGGCACTTTACTACCCACATTGTGTTAAAGATTAATGGGAGGCGAGATCTGGAGTCACCAGTGGAAAGGGCTGTCTTTCAAGGAGTTTGGCTCTAAAGGGGAGGAAAGAAAGTGTTAGATTAAGAGTGAAGAGGACAAGAACCAGAAGCAGTCACTTCTGTCTCCAGACAATGGCTTAATGATGGGTATGCTTTTTTTTTTTTTTTTAATGTTGCTGAAATAAAGTTCCTGCCAGAGTTCTGGAGTTTCTGGGTCACTCTACTTTCGAGTTGAATTTTATTGTCAGTTTGATGCTAGCTGTTTAGGCAAGCTTTACAGTAGATAAAAATGGAAGCCCTAGCAGAATCCTTCCAGAACTTGAAGATTTCCTATTTTATTACCCAGGGCCGGTTCCCCCCTCCGCTTCTCCCCCCTCCCCCACCCCCCACCCCTCGCCTTTTCCCTTGCTTGGAAGTAAGGATAGGATCCCTAATGGGTTAATTCGGAGAAGACGATCGAGAGGAGCTTCCTAGAGCGCCCAGGAAGTGGTTTTGGTTCCCACTGAGGTTTCCTGTGCCCCAGCCTCAACTTTGGTCTGTGTCTATTTAGTATTCACTTTTTTACCATCCCGAGGATATCCTTTGGGAGTGTTTATTTTGGGGGTTCAGGATGCATGCAGAGAACTCAGCAAAGACACGGGGAGAGCTGTGCTGCCGCGCCTCAGACGTGTCCTTGGACTCCAGATTTACTGGCAAATAATTCTTCCTCATCTTTCAAGAAGTCTATGAAGATAAACCGCACGCAGCGAGAGGCGGGAAGCTAATAAAGCCTTAGCTCAGGATGGCTGGAGAACCGGGACGACACACAGCACTGGATGCCCACTCTTCAGAGGACCAGATGGAGCTTCTAACTGTGAAGGTGGAGAAGGAGGAATTCTCCGCCTTGGCTGCAGACTCGGGTACACCCTGTAGTCGCGTCCGGGGCCCGGAGTGCTCCCGCCAGCGTTTCCGTGCTTTCGGCTACCCCGAGACCGCAGGCCCCCGAGAGGCGCTGAGCCAGCTGCGGGAGCTCTGCAGACAGTGGCTGCGGCCCGACCTGCGCAGCAAGGAACAGATCCTGGAGCTGCTGGTGCTGGAGCAGTTCCTGACCATCCTGCCAGGGGACCTGCAGGGCTGGGTGCGGGAGCAGCATCCAGAGAGCGGGGAGGAGGTGGTGCTGCTGCTGGAGTATTTGGAGAGGCAGCTGGATGAGCCCCTGCCGCAGGTAGAAAGAACGGGTTTAGTATCTGTGCATCCTGAACTCTCCCAGCGAGGGACATGCCTCTCAGGTCCGGAGTTCTCAGTCTCTTTGTACCCTGAACCTCTTTGGCAGTAAAGCCAAAATACCCTGACCTCCTCAGAATAAAATCTCTAAATACTAGGATAAAAATCTCTAAATACACCCTCAAAATAAGATCCTTAAATATATCAAGGAAACTATGAAAGAGTGCAAAAGGCCGGACAGAAAAGTCTGAAAAGAAATATCTTCAATTACCCCCCACAAAGCCGGAAGTGGAGCGGTGGCTCAAGTGGTGGAGAGCCAGAAGCTCCAGAGGAGTTTGAGCCCTAGTAAGAGTATGCGTGCACACACTCACAAACTGATGCACACACAGATTGAAAAAGAAGTCAGACTTGCTGATATTCAGTTAGCAAAATGCTGAACAAATCTGTGATAGTTATTACACATGTGCTTTTACATTAACATGCCAAATAAAATGGCCCAGTGACAGGTTAAAAACTGGACATTTCGCAGTGATGGTTAGCAAATGATACTTTTTTTGCAATGTGCTGCGAAAACACATGTAATGACTGAGTCTTGCCACTGCTTAGGCCACATTGGTTTGTTGCTTCCATTAATAATGAACTAATTTCTTAGAAACTGATAAAAAAAATAACACTTTTTTTTCTATCCAAGTTCATAGACCACTGGTTTTTGAATCTCTGGTAAAAAATTTTGGATTGGTTTTTAGTTCCTCTGCCTGCTTTTTTAGAAAACATTATAATGGTGACATACAGACATAAGTCAAGTAAAGAGTACATTTCCTTTTGGACAATGTCACCTCTTCCCTCCTCTTCTTCTGCCTGTGTTTTGAGTTTTCTCATTGCAGTTTAGTGTCTTTGTGTACAATCAGAGGACGGAAGACCAGAACCTTCTAACATTGACCAGGAAGCCAAGCTTCTTAGCTCTATTTCACAGAACTCTATAACAGTGAAAAAAAATCCTAAGTCTCAATGCTTTGTAAATGATGTGGTTAAATTCTGAGCTGTCCATAAGAAAGTAATGTGAAAACAAATTTAACTATGAATATCTGAAAGGAAAGCTGCATTTAATGAAGACACACTATATGTCAAGCTCTGTGTTGGGGTGATTTTGCATACTATAATCATATTTACTATTCCTCCAAACCCCATGAGCTAGAAATTAATATGCTTTTTTTTTTGCACATAATAGACTTGGATTCAGGGCCCTGGTGCTATACCTTAGATTTTTTGCTCAAGAGTGGTACTCTACCACTTGAACCACAGCTTCATTTCTGTCTTTTTGATGGATCTTTTGGACTTTCCTGCCCAGGCTGGATTGGAACCATGATCATCAGATCTTAGCTTCCTGGGTAGCTAGGATTACTGGCATGAGCCACTGGTGTATAACTGCTTATTTTTCAAATATCAAGAGATGTCAGTATTCTTTTCAGACTTTAACACCAGTTTCCAAAGGATTTCCTAAGAGAAAAGGTACATAGTGAGGAAGCACACAGTACTGATGTTTGAGAGGACAGCTTCTGTAGTCATTCTGCAGAGCCTGTATGATCTCCCATCATAGTATTTCTACTTATAAGTTGGGTGACTTGAAAAACTTTTTTGTCTGCCATGGGGCTTGAACTCAGCCTGGATAGAAAAACCATCTGATTAAAAAGTTAAATAATTAAACCTTTTTATTTTCTCTAAGTAAACCTGGTCTGATGTCACAAATAAATTCTTTATTTTAATCTTCTCTAATTACTTTTTTAAAAATTGGTCCTGGGGCTTGAACTCCAGGCCTGAGCACAGTCCCTGTGCTCTTCAGCTCAAGGTGAGCACTCTACCTCTTGAGCCACAGGGCCACTTCTGGTTTTCTTGTGGTTAATTGGAGATAAGAGTCTCATGGACTTTCTTGCCCTGACCATGATCCTTAGATCTCAGACTCCAGACTTGGAAAAACTTTTTAAACCAGGTCTCAGTTTCCCAACTGCAAATTTCACATAACAATGGTTTATATCAGCATTGGTGCATTAAATGAGTTAATTTTCATAAAGCTTTTTAGAATCAGTGTCTGGAAAATAAAAAGTAGTAGTACATAGAAAGCATGGAAATATCTGATGACTATATAAAAGCAAATGAATTGCTTTTAGGTCTTAACTGGTGACCTGAGGCAAGAACCACTCTGTTGTAAGGTGGCATTGTTGACACCAGCTGGAAGGTCCCAAAGTAGTCAGTTGCAGCCAATGAGGACTCTGTTCAAGCATGAATCTCTGGGATTGCAGCCCTTAGAAGAAAGAGGTGAGTACTATCTTCTAGTCTGGAGAGCAGACTCCTTTGTCCTTTTTGTGCCTATCCTTATCTGACTCCTCTTAGTTTTTCAGAACCAAAGAGGAAAGCCCACTAATAGCTATGGGAGACATTTAGCCACACAATAAAAACTTTTCTATCCCCTTCTCCCAGCAAAACTTAAGGGAGAAATATAAAGCTTATTTTTTTCCTTTATGTTACATTCATTTCACCATTCCTACAAAGGATTATTCCCCCACTATTTTGTTGTTGGTTCTTTTTTGTTTTACATATCTGCAGGAGCTCACTTGAACTACTTAAGTTCTAGAACTGGAGTTCGGAAGTGATCCGGAACTTTAGAAAACACTCTGTATAAATGTCTCCATACAAATTTACTAACCGAATTTTTATCTTGATTGCACATAACAAGGAGGCTGAAGGCCAGGGCAGATTTCATCCAGAGCTTCTCTTCTTAGTTCCCCAGGTTCCTGGACTTGCTCAGAGAGGAAGTTACAGAGAAGATGCCACAGGAGTATCCAGGTCCACTCTACAGGCCCAGGTGAGCTGAAACCCCTCCTTCTCCCCAATATACCTCACCTTTCATTAGTGTTGGGCTTTAGGTTAAGTTCCTCCCTCCCCAGTACTATTCCACTCTCATCCTAGATTTATATGAGATTTGAGTTTTCTCATCTTACATTGCTTATTGTTGAGTATCCATTTGGCTTTCACTTAACAGGTTTGCCCCTCTATCTTGGAATCTTTTTTTTTTTTTTTGCTTTTCAAATCTTTCCTACCCCAGCTTTTTGGTAGGCCTTTCTTCAGTGGAATTTCTTCAACAAGGGCAGTATTCAGAAAATGTAAATTGAAGGTTTTTTTTTTTTGTTTTTTTATTAGGGTGGTTTAGTGTTTTTTGTTGTTGTTGCTTTTTGTTTTGGTGGTGGAGGGCATGCTGAGGTTTATACATGATAAGCAAATGTTCTACTTAACTTCTTCTGCCTTGTTTTGTTTCTTAAAATATAGTATCTTGGTGAGGATATATTCACATATCTCACTTTGGGGAGTGATTATGAGCAAGTGGTACTAGATGGGGTTCCTTATTGTTTTAGGGATTGCTGAAAATGGAAGATGTGGCCCTGAGCCTTTCCTCTGGATGGATGTGGCAGGATTCATCTCAGATGAACCTCCTCAGAGATGCGAGACAGGAGAACTGTGGCAGCCTGGTTTCCCAGGGTAAGACTGCTGGGCACTGATTTCACTTAAGGTATCATTTTCTCCTTTGTTGTATTAGAAGCTAATGGAAGCTTAGTACATCAGAATCTATTTGAAGCTTATTTTGATTCACCATTTCTGAACCCTTGTTAAGGACCAGCTGTGTAATCAGCTACTTAAAACCCCTGATTTGCCAGGCACTGGTGTCTTATGCCTGTAATCCTAGCCACTCAGGAGGCTGAGATCTGAAGATCATGCTTCAAAGCCAGCTCAGACAGGAAAGTCCTGGAGACTCTTTCCTCCAGTTATCCAGCAAAAAGTCAGAAGTGGAGTGGCTCAAGTGGTAGAGCACTAGCCTTGAAGGAAAAAGCTAAGAAACATGGCCCATCCCTGAGTTCAAACGCCAGTACTGGCACAAGCATGTGCAGGTGCATGTGCACACATGCACACACGTGCACACTCACACACACACACACAAATGTAAAACAAACAAACAAAAACCCTTGACTCTTGCTTTCTTTTCTAACATAATAGTATTCTAGTCCATTTAAGTGATACGAAGTAGAAATAGCTTGTAACAATGGCCTGGCTTGTTGTAAGGTATATTAAGTAAGCAAGTTTCATTAGGTAACCGATGAAGAGAACACCATGTGCTATTCAGGAAGGAAAAGAAGTTTATTTACTGAACTGCTGCCCCGACTGTGCATAGTGGAGAGGCATGGCTGAAAAGGAAGGGGTGACCCACCCCTGGGCCAGAATTTATCTAGGCCAGGGACAGGAAGAGGTGTGGCCAGGTGGGGGAAAAGTGTGGCTACACTGGATCCAGATGTGACCTCAGGGTCTGGGACCCTCTTAAGGTCAGATGGAAGACATGTGACCAGAGGTGGCTGAGGATTTAACCTAGCAGGAGGGGAAGGTGAGTGCTTCCAGGTCTGCCAGTTACCTAGGTAACAGATAGTGGGCAGAAGCTTAAGCAAGAGGTAGGGAGGTGTCACTGTGCAGATCTTACACTTATTACTAGATGCTCCCTTTAAATTTCTAGTTCTGTCAGAGAGAGGAAGTTGATGAGCCTCTTCAGGAAATGGGCCATGAACTCATAGAGTATAAAAGTTAGTGATGACTTTAGACATTGACTGTAGATCCTGGCATTGGAGGTGAGAACGCAGAGGCACAGAGGGTTATCTGACTGCTTAGAGGTCACACAGCTGATTGGTGGCATGATGGGGGCTTCAGTTCAGAACTTTCTATTCTGATGCTGATTCTATTCGGGGATCCTACCTCCGCTGGGAATAGTGACAACAGCTTGAATCATCCATCAGTGACCAATTTCTTAGTCCCCACTTTCTCCATTTCTTCTACAAGGTCTCAACCCTCTTATGTCTTTGTTTAGTGTCTCCACCTGCTCAGCCCTTTTAGTATCTAAGTATGGGTGTATGGCTCTGCCTCATTATTCTTATCACTTGCAGACCCAACCACATGTATCTCTCTTTAGCTTAGTCTTTGAATCTCACCACCTTCCTTCCATTCCTTCATTTCCCAGTTCTAGACTTGGTCTAGTGTCCCTACTCTCACTTTCAGGCTTCTTTTATTTCCCTTTACCATCCTTATTTTTCAGCACTTAAATCTTCATCATGGCTTCTGAAACCACTGTGATTTCTTATTTCCTTGCTCTTTATCACAGATTTTTCTTTCATTGCAGGATGTAATTGACAATCCCTGACGTTTGTGGTTCCAGGTCAAGAAATGCAGATTAAGACCAGTGTTGAGACTGCAGTTAGAGAATATTCAGAACAGGAGCGTAGGCAGATACCACGCTGCGAGGGGGAAGACATTCCACAGGCTCCTCCAGATGCAAAAGCTGGTGAGCATGAGAGCAAGTTACAAAGAAAACAAAAAAGTGCCACAGAGAATAGGCGGCACCATTGCTGTGACTGTGGAAAGAGTTTTGCTCAGAGTTCAGGCCTGAGCAAGCACAGGAGAATCCACACTGGCGAGAAACCCTATGAGTGTGAAGACTGTGGGAAGACCTTCATTGGGAGCTCTGCCCTTGTCATTCATCAGCGAGTTCACACTGGTGAGAAGCCATATGAGTGTGAAGAATGTGGCAAGGTCTTCAGTCACAGCTCAAATCTTATCAAACACCAGAGAACCCACACTGGGGAGAAGCCCTATGAGTGCGATGACTGCGGGAAAACCTTCAGCCAGAGCTGCAGCCTCCTTGAGCATCACAAAATTCACACTGGGGAGAAGCCATACCCATGCACCATGTGTGGCAAAGCCTTTAGGAGGAATTCACATCTCTTGAGACATCAGAGGATCCATACTGGGGCTAGACATGTTCGGGAGCCTGACTGGGAAGGTGAAGGTAGACTCGAAGGCCAGTGGGAAAATACTGAAACTCCTGTGTCTTATAAATGTAGTGAATGTGAAAGAAGTTTTACTCGGAATAGAAGCCTTATTGAACATCTAAAAATCCACACTGGTGAGAAACCCTACCAGTGTGACACATGTGGAAAAGGCTTTACACGAACTTCTTACCTGGCTCAACATCAGAGAAGCCATGTAGGGAAAAAGCTTCTGTCACAGTGACCTGTCCCATGTCTATCAAACTTGGTGTCCATTTGTCATTGAATTGAAGCTATCAAGGAGCCTTTATTGGACACAGAAGTTATGGGGCTGGGGTCATACCACTATACACCTTCAGGTGTTAGACAATAGACTCTGGCTGAGATGGAGTATGTTCTGTGTTCTAGAAGGTGACTGGATCAAATTAAAAGACCACAGAAGTGTTTTATTCCTATTCATTTGACTTAACTGACCTCCCAGAATAGCTACTTGTCCTCAACCAGCACTTGTTTTCTCCTGGATGGGTGGCTCTTGATTTGAGGGTTGCTGCTTTTATAGTTTAATTTGACCACAATAAATTCTTCATGAGTTGGTCAGATCCGTGAAGTCTTTTATCCCTTATTGTGCCTTGTGCTAATTTACTAAAGATACCAGTGAAATGACTTTTATTACTCTGAAAAAGTCTGTCTTTAGATTTCTGAGGAATTGCTACCTAAGATCATTTGTGTTTGTGTCTGAATAAACTATTATGTCTATTTACATTACATCTCCTATGCAAGTGTGCATGGTAGGAAAATATTTGGTTAAAATGTGTAGTTCTCTTATGTTTTGTGTTCTATGAAGTCAATTAGTGTATTTGTGTCATGTATATAGTGTTGCTAGAGTTTGGGGTGGGAAAATATATAGTTCATGAGGATGGTTAGAATGCCTTAAACATATTTTTAATTATTATGATATTGGGAGATTACTTATTATACGCTTTAGGGGAATTTTTTTCACAGTCAGGTAAATAAAAATCAATTTATTGTCATATCAAAATGATTATGAGGGCTGGGAAGGTGGCTCAGTGGTAAGAGCGCTTGCCTTGCATGCCTAAGGCCCTGGGTTCGATTCCTCAGCACTACATAAGCAAAAAAAAAAAACAAGCCAGAAGTGGCGCTGTGGCTCAAGTGGTAGAGCGCTAGCCTTGAGCTGAAGAGCTGAGGGACAGCGCCCAGGCCCAGAGTTCAGGCCCCACGACCAGACCCCCCCCCCAAAAAAAAATCAAAATGATTATGACTTTTGATGTAAATTCTATATTGTTTAACATCTTGTTTGTTACATTTTACATACTTTAGGCCTATCCAAGTTCCAGAACACGGTTTGTAACCCTCTCCTTCAATGTATATCCAGCTACATCAAGGGTTATAAACTTCCTCTAGGTCAGAAGATTCACACCAAATGTGTGTGTGTGTGTGTGTGTGTGTGTGTGTGTGTGTGTGTATAATTATTCATGACTTCCAAACTGTCCTGTGGGTGGGGAATAGGAAAATTGAGTTAGTGACAGGTTTCTCAAGTGTGTATGGTAGGAGAGAATATATTTGTTTGGAAACTCTCTGAGATAATTCTCAGTGAAAAGGAACCCAAACTATGTAAATGTGAAGTCAAGACTCAAAGCTGTGAAATAAGACTTTTGTGGAATCTGCTATTTATCATTCGAATTACCTATGTCCTTCAAAGATCAGTAACTTCTTTTTAGGTGCTTGAGTGCACAATTCCAGCTCCCTGCTTTGCCAGACTCTATGGATGGATTCTGTTCTAGTGGAATCCCTGACCAAGTTGCTTTGCTTTGCTTTGTTTTCTCCTGGTGCCCAACGTAGTGTTTGTTCTTAGGTACTCTTTCTGGATTCCTGCTTTGAAGTACTATGATCTGACTAGGAACTTAAAATCAAAGGGATTATGGGTGTTGGTGTTTCATGCTTGAAATTCTAGCTACTCAAGAGGCTGATATCTAAGGATTGTGGTTCAAAGCCAGCCTGGGCAGGAAAGTCCATCAGACTCTTCTTTTCAATTAACCACCAAAAAGAGGCAGAAGTGGAGCTGTGGCTCAAGTAGTAGAGTGCTAGCCTTGAGCACAAAAGCTCAAGGTCAGCACCATCCTCGAGTTCAAGACCCAGGACTTGTGCACACACACCAAAATAAAAAACAAATAAACCAAAAATTCAAACAAAGGGCTCTCCCTTCAACAATTCCCTAAAAGCTTTCAATATGCTCTCATTATGCTCCCATTCCAGTCCAATTTAAAACTTTAACTTTCCAAAGTTCTGTTGACTATACTTTCTTTTTCTAGCCTTTAAAGTTTCCTTTTAAACTAGCCTATTTTCTTCTAAACTAGCTTGACTATTTCCACAAAGCTAACCATCTGTTCTCTCCTTAAACTTTAAACTACCTAAATACTTCCTAATAGTGCCTATCTTAAATAATCAAACTCAGCTGGACACCTGTAGCTCACACCTGTAATTCTAGCTCAGGAGGATGACTTCTGAGGATTGCAGTTCAAAGCCAGCCTGGGCAGGAAAGTCTGTGAGACTCTGATTTTCGATTAACCACCAGAAAATCAGAAGTTGTCCAGTGGCTCAAAGTAGTAGAGCACTAGCCTTGAGTGAAAAAGCCAGGCCCCAAGTCCAAGCCCCACAACTGAAAAATAAACAAAAATCAAACTCATTACTGACAAGTTCTGTCCATTTTTCCTTTGGTGCTTGTTTCTGATATTATATAAAGAGATTTATATGAAAGCCTTTTACACCAAAAAGCATTATGAAAGCATAACTAAATGAGATTAATTATTGATCCCTGTATCTCCTCTCACTTTTTGGTATCTAAAATCTTCTCTGTAGGAAAGAGAAATACTGTAGAAAAGTACTTTTGATGCTTATTATGTTAACAGCAGAAGGGCCAGAACTAAGTACGTGTGTGTGTGTGCACGCACAAGCACATATGCACACATGCCTATAACCTTAGGCTTAAGCTTTAATATAGTAAGGTTGATAAGACGAACATGGGAAAGGCAACATAACAATAAATTCCCTGTGAGTGGAAACAGGTCTGTAGAAGTGCAGAGGAAGAAACTTAACTGCTGTGAGCCATTATTTTCACACAAACAGGGTGATCTGTTAGAGATCTGAAAAGATTGCAGTGACTTTGTCAAATTCAGAAAATAAGGCAAGTTAGAAGAGATAGGTACATTATAGGGATTTTTTGTACCAGGGTAGGAAATTTAAATTTTATTCAGTAAACACTGGAAAGCACTGAATTTTAGGATCAAAATATTTTCTAGGATCTAGGATATGACTCTCGATAGAACACCTGCTTAGGTTGCACAAGGCTTTGGTTTGAACAAAATGTTAGCAAAAAATTGGCAGTATTGTATAATTTCAAATAAAAAATAATTTTGCTGATAGTCTTTCGCTATCACACTTTTGCATAAAACTAGTTTATTTATAAAAGAGTGAATTATAAAAGAGGCTTACAGCCTAGTGAGGTGGTCCAATGAATTATTTTCAAGTGAAATTAGATCCAATAAATTGCTTCATCAAGAAATGGGATTCCTGCCTTTGGAAGTACCTTTTGGCCTCTACTTTCATTATCAGGTGCTCATCACCTACCTCAGGAGCTAGAACATCAGGGATAAAACCTTCTTTGAATCTGTATTCATTCTGATTTCCAATAGCTGGCATTATACTTCAAGACATATCCTTGAAGGCTCCCTCCTCAGCAATAAAAATAATCGAAATGTGGCAATAACTGATGATAGAACCGATAACATAAGCAATTATCATAGATCCTAAAGTTTTAAAGTGATTTAGTAGTCAAAGACTAGAAATAATAGAAAAATACTGAGCCAGGCATGCTGGCACACATCTATTATAGCTCTACTAGTTGGGAGATAGAGACTATTTGGGAATCGATCACAATTCCAGACCAGCCTAAACTGTTTCAAAAGCAAAACAAAACACCACTAAGAACAAAAGGACTGGAGGTGTGAATCCCTATACACCCACAAAGAAAGAAAACAAAGATATGACAGCATAACATACAAATAGTATACGTAGACTTTCAAGTTATTGTGACATGGGTTTTACATTAGTTCTTTCATTGATTGTGTCATCTTCTTATATTGTTTCAAATTGCAGTCTGTGTAAATGAAATAGAAAGAATATCTTGTAAAACTCATGGAGGGGTTGGGAGTACAGTTTAGTGGTAGAGTGCTTGCCTAGTATGTGTGAGACCCTGGGTTAAACCTATAGCAAAGAAAGAGGGGAGGGGAGGGAAGGAAAATTCCTTTGTTTAATAGTTGATGCACATTACTCCAAATTTCTATATAAATAGTTTGAACTCAGTGGGTTGTGCTGGCACACTCACAATCCTATCACTTAGGAGGGTAAGACAGAGAAATGGGAAGTTCAAAGTCAGCCTGGGCTATATAGCCTGGAAATAAAAAGAATGTTGAACTCATAAAACCAAATTAGAAAATGAAATTAGAAAGCACTGTGCTTGTTCTTAACTAAATGAACAAACAAACGTTTATTGAAATCTTGACTTTCTTAGGCTTCAAAACAACCACTTAAGGCTGGTATTATTTTTGCCAAGACAGGGGTCTGTAGAACCTCACAGTTGCTTTAAACATTAGCATGAGTCGGGTACTGGTGGCTCAAGCCTGTAATCCTAGCTACTCAGGAGATCTGAGGATCATGGTTCAAAGAGCCCAGGCAGGAAAGTCCATGAGACTCTTATCTCCAATAAACCACTAGAAAGCTGGAATCAGTGTGTGGCTTAAGTGGTAGAGCGCTTGCCTTGAGCTGAAGAGTGCAGGGACAGCGCCCAGGCCCAGAGTTCAAGCCACACGACTTACCAAACAACAACAACAACAACAAAACATTAGCATGGAGTGTAGTGGCCTGTAACTGTAGCCCCAGCTACTCTTGGAGTTGAAGCAGATTCTTTCAAGCCAGGGATTAGAGAAGAGCCTGGGCAATAGTGTGAGATCCTGTATCAAAAATAAGAAAATAATTATCATAGGAGATATTAATGAAAAACCAAATCAGGGATAAGGCTTATGAATAAAAATAATACAATTATCAATTAATAATTAATGAAGTTTGAGATACATCATTTTGTGTATATAACTCTATGGAATTAAAATTGCAACAGTTACTTTAGGTTGGTTGGGCAAAACTTTTCAAAAGTCCTCAATTGACTCATTCTTCCCTTAGTTGGGAATAGCTGCTGAGCAAATTTATGAGGGAGGGAAACTTTGGTGTGGGAATGAACCAGGAATCAAATAAATCAAACAAATTGAAGTTGGAAGCTGGAATCAGTAAGGATTTAATTGAAGGTGATGGGGAGTTTAGAATAGCTTAACTGGATGGTGAATAAGGAATTAACTCCCTAAGGGGAAAAGTACCCATTGTTTAGGATTCTTGGAGTAAGAAGAAAAGAACTCAGATCCCGACGAGGATGGGATTCGAACCCACGCGTGCAGAGCACAATGGATTAGCAGTCCATCGCCTTAACCACTCGGCCACCTCGTCACATGGGCTTCTTGTCAACTTGATCTGT